AGCGGGTAAAAGCTGCAAACAGGCTGACTTGAGGTGACAGAGGCTTGTTTTGCAGCAAAGAGCAGGTGCAATGAAGTTAATGGCTCGACAACAACGACTGTAAAAAGCTAGTTTCATGCAACAAATTGGCAAATGAGGGAAGTTGAAACAACACAAAGCATTGAAACACGGAAGAGCTTTATGCTAATTAATCAGAAACACTGACCCACTGACTGAGGTGCTAATAGGTGAGAAGCCTCCTGCTGCTGAAGGATTGAGAGAAATGTTGAGTATTTCAGTTAAACCCTCATAGGACCATTTGTTCTTCTGAGCCAGTCTTCTTGTCCTGTCCTGGAAGTTAGCGAACCCAAAGTAACTCCAGCAGAAAATTAAACGTCAGCGCTTTTAAATTTACTGCCTTCCTTTGGCTCTTTTCTCTAACTGCACATTTACAGTACATACATCATTCACAGTGAATCCGTTTCATCGTAAGCATCTCACGGACACACGAGCTCCCCTCCTCTCCGAAGACCGGGTGTTGCTACCAACTTCTAAAATGTTCCTTTTCTTCTTTTTTTTAAATCCATTTTCACTCAACAAACTTTACTTAGCTCATCTTATTCCTGATCAAAGTTTAAATTGCTTTTTGAAGGCGTTCTCCTCCTCTAAACTCTGAACCTGTCATCACCGCACTGAATCTGCTTCTATCACCTCATTTTCTGTCTTCTCTCTCGTTCCCATTCTCCATTGATTCTCTCCCAGATGGACTACGCTGACCTCCGACTCGGGGGGTTAACAACATCTAAAGAACTTCTGCAGCTCCAGGAGCCCAGAGGAGAAAATCGCAGTCAAACAAACTGCAGCTGTTTTCTCTTTTCTATTGTTTCTCTTTGTTGTCATCCGTCGCTGGCTGTTGTGTGCTCACAATTACATTCATTATATCAGACTATTTATTTACTTTTTTAACAAACTGCACAACATGTATTCTTTATTCTTTTCTTTCTTTCATTTTCCTTGAAATTTAATTGAAACTTGCCTTCAAAGTTCTGTGAAAACCACCATGCAAATATAGTTTCAGAGCATCAGAATCTGAATGTTCAACAACTCTCCTCAAAGCTGTTCTCAAAAATACGTCCTCCAAGATTTGTTTCATAAGTATATGCAGTTTTAATGGCTGTGTGGGCACGGAGCGCATTAAAAATCAAGCTGCTGTGGGGCCCATTAGAACCTGCCTGGGTCTAATAAGTAAGTGGTGTCATTATGTCTTTACTGAGTTTTGTTATCATGACAAAGCAAAAAAATAACACTGCAGCCAACAGTGTAGGTGGACTTTTTTGGGCAGAGTCAGACTTGAAAGAGGAGACTCAGCAAACAGGAAATACTGACAAAGAAAAGCAAAGCACTGAGGTCAGTGGTAAAGTAGGCGGAGGTGCTGACTGAAAACAGGCCACAGAGGCAACGGCTGCACCGGTGTGGAGGTGGAGGCTGCTCACTGGCAGCTGACAGCTCCAGGATCAGCACCTTGGAGGGCGCTGCATCATGGCAGCCTGATTACAACAGCTGTGGATGTCTGTAGAGGTGGGCATGGTGCAGAGGCTGCCTGTGGCCACACAGAGACTGG